TTTGGCAAATAGAATTTAAACCTTTTTGCCATCTATGCGCAAGATCTCCAGGCTTACATAATATTATTTAGGCTAAAATCTTAATCGGGCCCTTTAACAACTGTAATCAAGATACCTTATAACATGGTAAACGTCCACCAAAGAAATTATGGTATAAATATTGTTTTATGAAACTAATAATTTTTTTGTTGATATTATTAAATTTTTATTGATATTAGGCAATTAATAAATAAAATTGAGATTTTTGCTTAAAAAAAAAGGAAAGATTAATTAATAGCACCAACCCTCAAAATAACTTCTGTTTAATGATCATTTTGTTTTATACTAATAAATTGTAACTATATTAGAATACGCACCGAATTGTAGCCACGCTGAATTGATGCTGCGCCTAATTTTCTGCGCCGAATTGACATGGAACCATGTACAACATATATTTAACGTTTATTTCTTTCCTTCCTTCTAAGGATTGAATTGTATGATTTATTATAGGTACATCGGCCCACCCCTCCCCAAAATTATATTGGTGAGGCTTAGGTCAGTTTTTTGCTAGCCTCTGGCCAGATTTAGCTTATATTTTTTATTGGTATTTTTCTTTGAAAAAATTTAAATTTTTAAAAAATTATCGTTTTATTGTTAAATACTTCTTATTTTTTTTCTTCATTTTTTGCCGGCTCATATTATTTGCTGATAATATTTACAAGACTTTAAAGATTTGCTAGGGGAATACCCTTCCATCCCTTTAGATATGCTTGTGGAATTTATAAATATGTAGTTTGACATGATCAATGTCAAAGCATTATAAAAAAAATTTTAATTTATAGGTCTAAAATAAATTTAATTTCTTTCTATACTAAAATTTTTTTTAAAAAAACGAGAAAATATTATAAATTAACTATTAGCTGTAACTTATATCAATTTTTTTTAGCCGAATCTAAAAGTAAACAGTTATAATTAATTATACACCTAAATATTGATCATTAATATTCAATTTAATTAAATATTATTATATAATAATAATTAGCACGCAAGTATAATTCATATCGTAAATTTCTTTTAACATTAAAAATTTAATTATTAATTATCTATATTTTATAAGAAATTTAATTTATAATCTAATATTGTATATTACATAATATAATGAACAAATGGAATTTAATTTGATTCCAATTAGCATTGCAATATAAAATTATGTTAATTAAAATAAAATATTTAAAGAACAAAAGATCCTTATTTGGCAGTTCTAGCAACGAACTAATAATAAAAAATTATATCTATCATTATAGTAGATAGAAGGAAAAAAAGGCTTAAATATACATAGACTTGTCAATCGTTATTGATTTTATCAAAATAGTGAAGGTTTGTAGAATGAAGGTTGGTGCAGTCCGATCCTGACCGAATTCCGGTCCTGACAAGTTGTTCAAAATATTTTTGCATGCTTGACCAATGTTTCAAATAAATTTATAAAGTTGACAATAGGGGTAAATTTAATGTCGCTTTCTTTAACAAACAAAAAACTGATGAAAAGTTTTTATAATTATCACAATATTACAAAACTGTTAGTTAAAAATTGATAATGCCAATTGGGTAATAGATGAGCATACAAAATCTTTGGCGGTAGTTTGAAATAAAGGAGGTCAATTTTCATAACTACGTGAGGGAAAATTTTAATATTTTTAGAAAAACGAAATCTTATCATTTAGACTTTGTTGTTGAATTTTTTTATCTTCATGGAGTTTAGATGGCATTTCCCATTTTCAAGTAGCTCCCAACGATTTTTTTATGCTATTCCACCCTCCAAAACTTTTTATCCTGACCAAAATCAAGTTCTTTAAGAAGAATATTTCACTCTTTTCCCTTGTGGAGTAAAGAAGATTGGCACTAACAATTTTAAACTATTTCCTAGAGGTTTGTAATACTGTTGTTCTACTAACCATATTTTTTTATCCATTCAAAACTCATTTTTTAAAAAATATTTTACATTTATAAAATATTAAAACTATTTATATATTTATATTAATTTTTTTTCTAAATTTAATTTTAAAATAATAATTTTAGAACCATTTTTTAATAAAATATTTTTTTCCTATATAGGTACAATCTATTATTAATTTTAAAATCGTTGCCATTTAAAACAAGTTTGTTCTAAGATTTATCCAAAGATGGAGTCTTTGGGGGGGGGGGGGTTATTCTTTCAGAATTTTTAAGTGATTCATTTAATAATTGTATGTGCAAACTTATTGTTAAACGACCATATTTAGTCGATTAAAACACTACTCAAACAAGTTCTTAGTCGAAAAATAAAATCATCTCCGACTCGAAAAATTAGTCAATTAGTCGACTAATTTGATAGCTCAAGTTTTTGGTCGAGTTGCAGAAAGAACTCGATTAAACAACAACACCATGTAAACCTATTATTAATTAAAGTAACTGGGAAAATATTAGGTTTTTAATATTTATAAATATCCCAAAAGTTAATTTGAAAATTTAATTTTTTAAAAAAAATCATTTTTTGTTGGTTAAATTTATAAAAAAATTCATACCCTAAAATTATATCATAATCATGAGTTATTATAAAATATAATTTTCAGTATAGTAACAAACACGCCTACTACCGAATTTTAGTAAAATTACTTAAAATTGTATATTACCTTAAGAAGATTACTTTCTTCTTCTGGTTAAATTGGATTTCTTAATCCTCTCCTTTGTTTATTCTCATTTCCGTGCTTTAGCTTCAATATTCAATAGGAACCACCAAGTTTTTCTCACTAAATCATTTTTTTATTAAACGAACTTGAAATTAACTCATATATCTTATTGTTCTCTTTTAAGATCCGTTAATTATTATTATATTCCCAAAGATTTAAATCTCGTGGGAATATTTCAAAAAATAAAATGTTGTTTTTAGCATATCGTTTTTTTTATACATAAATTAATTTATTAATAGGCTTTACAAATGGAAGTAATCCTCCTTCCCATCAGAGCAATATATTTGACATATTTTAGATATCCTATAACTCCCCTTTCTCCTGTCATAATAAATCCCAAGGACTTGTAGGAAAGTTACGAAAGTGAAATATTTCTCTTAAAGTTAATATCAATTTGATTGAAATAAAAAAAATTAGATATATAAATACCAATTTTTTATCATTATAAATTTACAAAAAGTTATTCTGAATTTATAACATATTATTGATTTGTCCATCCAAATCAATATTTCGATCTTAGTTTAAAACAAAAAAATAAATGGGTGGGATCATATTTTAAAAATTTTTTTAAAAGATAGTATATAATGTCTATACGAATATAATTTTGACTTTATTTTTTATCGTTGAGAGCGCTAAAAAAATTGTTTTTGATTTAGGCATACTAGAAGCAAAGACTTGCTTAGCATGGCTTAAATGTTCTTGCCTATTTTATCATAGAAAGAAAAGGAAGAAGTCGTAGATTGGAATAATACATCTTGCATTTTGGTTTTTTTTTAGATATTTTTATATTGTTTTTATATAACCCTTCATTCAGTGGTAAGGTGGAGATTTTTAACACGCCGATCTTAAATTGTTATTGCAAATAAAAGTGTAGTTACTTTTACCTGGTATATAATTTATGAGGATTAATGTTAAAATGTATTTGTGCAAAATTTCAAGGATTTATATATTACTAAATAAATTTTTTATGATACAAACATTTTTTTCATTTTTTTCAAGTTTCTTGGATGTGAAATGCACATTTGAACTCACATAATTTTCAAAATATATTAATTGAAAAATTATTTTTTTTATTAATGTTATAAATTCATTCTAAATAAAAATGTGTTTTATTTTTTTTTTACTGATTTTTAAAAGTTTAATATTAAAATATGCTATTTATAATTTATTTTTAAACCATCTTTTTACAAATATTTTTATAAAAAAAAAATTTACCATTCATAATCTCTTCGAAGTTTTTCTCTTATATAATTAAATTAATCTTATAAGATTAACTTTTATAAAATAGGTATTAAAAATATCGAAGTTTAATATAAATTATAGTTTTGAATCCCTGGTTAAGAGCCTGTCAAATCTACATCAGGTCGAAAACGGTTCCTAAATGACTTTAAAAAATCTGATCAGGGCCTTATAACCAGTTGGAAAATTACATAGTGCATTCAGCATTCATTTTTCTCCCCACCTTCTGCTCTTTTTATTTCTTTTTAAAACAATTTGCAAATATAAAATGGACAAAATTTTTAAAATCTTGGCTGGAACGTTAAATTATATAAAATTTTAAAAATTTTACCAGGCCAAAAAAAAATTAAAAAATTTATTAAAGCTGTGTGGAAAATGGGAAGATTATTTTTATACCCGGGCCTGTCTATTAAATTTGATTTCTGTAGGTCTCTGATAGAATTATTATGAGTGAGATAATAGTATAAGAGTTCGTACCTAATGTTTTTCAACTTATCGCCCAAGAATTAAGTAATAATGTAACTTGATTATTCAATAACCATTCTTATTGCGATCTTAAATTAGGGTCAACATTCCCTTTCATATAAACTCCCTCTTAATAAATAAATTCGAATAAATAAGATTGATGCTTTTTTTTCTTATCGTTCAAAAATTATTTTTAAAAAATATATTAGATTTTTGAAATATAGATAAAATATCGGTGATTTTCGAGAGAGATAAAAACAGAAGATGATAGGTTTTATTGATTTGGGTCTAGTATCAGATGAGCCAAAATGGGCTTTAATTATAGAATATTAATTTGGCCCTCCTAACCCTGCATTCATAATTAGCGCAAATTCGTTGAGAGGTACACAAAAATAGAGCATATTTGTAAACTTCGCCTTGAATTTCGCGCTAACTGTGAAGAATAGAAGGTAAATAAACCTTCTGTTCAGAAGTTAGCGAAAATATTAGCATTAAAAGATATTTGATTGATTAAGAATTCAAGCAGTTTTTTTTTAAAATAAAAAAATTTTAATATTTAAATCAATAAAAAATTTTGCCATAATTATTAACCTTTGTTGAAGGTTATTAGAGCGTCATCCAAACTGGGCCTAGCAACGTTTTCGCTTTCGCTATCGACAAGTCTTTCGTCATTAAAACTATTTTCTACATAAAAAAAAAATATTTTTCTTTATCAAATGGACATTATAAAAGCAAGTAACTGTGAGATATTTTTTTTTACATAATAAAAAATATTGTAAAAAAAAGAAAAATGTTTATAATAATTCATTTTAATTTGCCAATTAAAAAAAAAAATGTTCAAAAATTTGACACCCACTCACATTAAAAAAAAAATAAAATAATTCTGATTGTATAATAGATCCAATTTTCGTGATTTTAATAAAGAGTAAAAAAAAAAATTTTTTAAATATATTGCGGATCACGCCATAATATTATTTTTTTCGCGACATATAATTACCTGTCAAAAAAAATGACCCTGAACAAAGGAATAGAATCCTCAAAAGTCTAAACGAGACCAGACAGAGGTGTCCAGTTCAAAATTTTAAACCAAATGAAAAAATAATATGTAAAAAAAAATGAACCTGATATAGAGGTATCTTGATAATCCGCAGGGTTACTTTCGTACATTTGACTCCCCTCTTGTTGAGGTAATACATCCGCAATTCCCATTTCGCCTAACTGATCCTTGATTTCGTCGTCCTCCGTGTCCTCTCTATCTGTGTATTCGTAAGCGTTTATGTATTCTGAACTAGTAAATTGCTCCAATATGGAAGATTTCCCCACCGCTTCCCCTCCTATTATTAGCACGTAGTAAGTTGCGGTGCCATCGCCCTCTATATTGTCATCCTTATAATCATCGATATTATTGCGTAACCAAGAATCGCTTTCTTTTCTCTCTCCCCTGGCCTTTCCATGGTTTAATTTTGAGCTTTTGTAATCATCTTCTTGAGCATTCTCTTTGTCCGAAGTGATGGGATCTTGTGATATAGACCTTCTGTGTATCATTTCAGGTCTGAGGCTTTCCATGTGACCTGGCAAGGTAGAAACTCGACCAGAATATTTGCGGGGAATGATAGTGGGGACGTGGCTTTGTCGCCTATATTTGACCCTAAAAGAGTCGCCCCTGTTGATTAAGCCACCTTGGGGAGTCAAAGAAAAGTTTCGTACCCTACAAACTATGGGGGGTGGTGAAACAGGTAATGAATTGCCTACACCACCTTCCTCAAATTTATCGTCATTATAATCGGTGATAGAGTCCAGGGTAGGTTCTCGTAGTTTCGCTGCTATATTGCTGGAAGAGGCCTGATGAGAGTGGCGTCTAGGCGAGGACAGCGAATTATGTCGTTCGTTTTTGTTTGTTAGATTTTCGAAGTTGAATTGATAATTACTGTTACTGACCCTTTGGTTGGAACGTCTGGAATGCTGGATACCGGATCCCCTTTTGGTGTAATCGGGACTATCGGATTTGCAAGAATCCGTATCAAAATATTTTGCACCTTCCAATTTATGGCTCGAGATTCCGTTCAGAACGTAGTTGTGAGGGGTAACCTTAGCAAACATCGGAAGCTCTGAATGAGTCAACGAATGTTTTCCGTAATTTTTGAAGTATTCGAAATCGTCTACTTCATCAATTTTGTTATCGCGAAATTCCGCTATGCAAGGTTGGCTGTTATTTTCTCGGTGCCCTTCTGAGCTGGGAGGATACAATGGAATTCCTTCAGAATTATCTTGGTTCTCGGCTCTTTTGTCGTGGGTACCTTGACGAACTCGTAAAGATTTCGATCTTTGGCGGGCTTTAGATTGCGGGTTAAGATTATCTGTTGTTTTTAAGCTATTTGAATTAAACTGTTTCGGCTCATTATTATCTCCTGGTTTAACATTTTCCTTCGGAAAAATGGTTTTCTCACTTTTGGGGTTCGGTAAGGAAAGCGGGACATTTGGATCAGGGAAAAATTTGGTTGGATTTTCCTTGTTGTAAGATAAACGTGTGTAAGGTATTTTCTGAGGCGCATTTGGTATATTACTTAAATTAATTGTATTCGAATCGTATATTTGAGGTAAGAGCCTACGCTTAGGGCCCTGCATTCTTCTTTAATCTATAATATGGTAATATATACTTTATGGAAATATGTAATATTTGAATAATAATACAAGTATATTCAATTTTGCAATGAATGATTAATATAGACTAGATTTATTAAGAAAATCTATATAAATCATTTATCAAAAAAAAAATGTCATAAATGTCTTCATTTTATCTCAGCATAAAGTGATTAATATAATGAAGAGATTTTTTATTTAATTCCCAGAGCTGTAATATTTTATTATAATTTTTTTTTAAACTAAGTTACCTTGAATAAAACTGATCAATGTTTAAATAATAATATTAAAAAAAATTGATTTTCACGGTTGAAATTTTTCTTTTAAATAAAAATAATAAATTATGTTTATTTCAAATAGAATTATCTCAAAATTGGCCACCTTCTGGTCAAAGAAAACTGTTGTAGCTTAGCTCTAGTGTCATCTATTTTTTAGCTTAAGTTAAGTGGTAGCTAAAATATTTTACTCATGTCGAGAAAAAAAAAATTTTGAGATAACTCTATATGAAACAAAATATTATATAATTTATCTTTGTCAGAATGTAAGATAAGAAAAAATAAGATAATAATAAAAATATACAATTTTTTTTTAGAAAATAAATCAAATTATAAATTATGACTATTTTATTTTTATCATTAAAGGTAAATTTTAACATATTTGAAATTTTCCATATGTGAAAAACATCTATATTATTTATAAAATAAATACAATTCCTGTCCTCGAGAGTGATCATGGTTTTGTTTAGTACATAAATATTAATGCATTTGGAGACAATAATTTAAAAAAATATATACTGCTAAAACGTCCAATATTTTTTAAAATCTACTAGAAGAAAGAGAGTAATGATGATTAGCGCGCTAAAATAGCGATAACTTAGAGGCGTTTATTTTTAAAAGTAAGCCTTTAAGGGTTTGGACAGAACAGCTCTGAAAATTGGATTTGTTTATAAAATTATTATCCACAATATAATCAAAATTTATAACATCTTTATTTTTCTCCAAAGAAGAAGAAGGGTTGTGAAAGTGATTATATAGTATATTCATATGGAATAAAAGAAATAATCGGATATGTTTTTAGAAAAATTTTATAACTACTTGAATCATTTACGGCGCATTTTTTTTTAAACGTATATAAAAACATGACTTTGCCCAAAATCGTATTATAACATATCTTGTAAATTTCAGAGAATTTTTCTAGCCAACTAGCTTTAAATTATTCTTTTTTATTATAAATTCGCAAAAATAAATGACGTGATTGTCAAAAAAATTTCAACCTTGCTAGGCCCATTCAAAAAAGAATAACGAATCGAATGATGAACCTTTCTATCGTCGACGTAACTTCCTGTAATCGAATCACATTTTACTATTAGTTAGGAATACGAATAGCCGATTATTCTTTTATTACAAAAGAAACAAATACGAATAATTTATTATTGTGTTCATATCCGTTTTTGATTAGATGTGCTCTTTGCCTGCTCGAACCAGATTTCGGCAAAATGCTCCTTTTAAAATTTTTTTAAAAAAAGGCTTACTAGAAATGGTTTAGGTCATAAGGATCTTCACTGTTTTCCAGAAGAAAAAAAAATTTCTCTAAGTCATTCATTCAAAGAAATTTCTTTCCTGTATAGTATTGTTATACGGCACGATTTGAGCCGATTTTTAAAAATGGCTAACACAATATTTTGCCTATGCTTCGAGATTTAACTAATAGATGTCCAACCCTTTGTGTCATATATGAGCAAAATCTTTTAGGCCAGCATAATATTTATCTGCATAAAATATTGAACACTCTATCTATCGTTATTTTTATGGTAATTTAAAAAAAATTATATTAACGTTGATGTTTTAAATACATATTTATTTTTTCTCCTTAATCAATGATTTATGGGAAATGACGATAATAATTCAGTTTACGATTAGTTTTCTCATATAAAAATATATTAAATATTAAAAAAAAACTTGGAGCAAAACATTTTAATAAATATAAGTGCTGCAAAGTAACGTCGATAAATACTCTTTTTTGAGGAAAAGGATCGCCATTCGTTACTTATTTCAAAAGGTAATAAGTTACTAGTTTCTTTATTTTTGGGTAGCGGTAACGCAAAAAATGTTACTCGTTAACTTTAAATTGTTTCTTAAAAAAAATATGGAAAAAATTTATTTTATTTTATCATTAATATTACATTTTTTTTTAAATTTTATACATAAAGTAAGCTTACTTTTTAATTTCAAGATAAACCAATCTTCATTTTTAATTTATTTATTAATTTTTATAGTTGAAATTTATACAAGTCAAAGTTTGTTATTCGGATTAATATTGAATCGATCAAGATATTTTAATTTATATTCTCTAATATTGTTAAAAAATAATAATATATCACCATAGAACCTATTTCTTCAGATGGAAATGATTTAATAATGAAAAAAATTAAGGGTACTAAATTTCACTTTGTAAGTGTAGATCGTGTCCTATTCAGATTTTTTTTAAAAATTGTTGGGGATCTGAATGAAGATTCTTGTGAAGATGATCTAATAAGTTTTTTTTTAAAAAGTAAAGATCATTATTTAAATATTTTTAATAAATTCCCTCAATTAATTTATATTAAATATAAAACAACCCTCCCATTCTCTCCGCATGTTGAACGCGAGTTTAGCACAGAACGCTGCATTGAGAATCAAGCGTTCTTGTTTATCGGATCAAAATTTTGAAATTCAATTGCGTATTTTATTTTTGAATAATTTTATTATAATTATCTATGGGGAAGAATTTAACTAGAGAATAACGCGTTCCTGTTTTTCCACATTGTAGCGAGTAATGGTAACGCTTTCTCAAATGTAACGAATAACGTGTTTCTTTTTTGAAGAAGTAACATTTACAGCACTAGTAAATATCATACACGAAAATAAATCGTTTATTTTCAAATTATGGCTAAAGTTCTTTATTTATTATATTTTTATCGTAAAAAATGAAGAGTTTGAAAAATAAAAATCTTTCTTTTTTTTTATATTGATTTCATAAGATTTTTTATGCGTGAAAATTACAAAAGATATATTTATAAAAAGATATATTTAAAAAAGATTTTGGCATTTTTAGTTAAAATTTAATCAAAAAAAAAACTGTTCTTCAAAAAAAATCTTCAAATTTTTTTTTTTTTCAAACTCGGTATCTTAACTATATATATATACATCGATATTTTTAAGATTTTTATCGCATAAAAAAATAAATCATCAACTTCGGCGATGGATTGATTTTATAAGATGGAAACAGTGAGATATACTTACTTATTTCATAAATAAATTTATTTTTTATAAACATAAGTACAAATTATTTCATAAATAATTAATTGTGTAATATAGTGTGTAATTCTTAATTTTAATATCTTTTTTTTCGGTCTTGCCAAATTATGCTCTCTTATCAACTGTATTCCCTAAACCTATTTTTTTTGTCAAAATCTAATCATCTACCATATAAAGGTATCTAATATTTAATTGTTATTTATCTGGAGTGCTATCTTTATTTAAAATGCATAATTGATGTTGATATGATTAATAACTAAAAAATAATAAGAAGAAGAAAAAAAAATCATCCCTTTCCCGTCAATTAATGACATTTATATCTAGATAATTTAATTATCAAATTTTGCGAAAAGATTTTTTAATTTTTTATTACCGCGTCAACCTCTAGTATCTTTAATAGTCTCCCTAAAAAACCTTTGTCATTCAGAATTTCGCTAAAATTTATCGGGGTTGCTCTATTTCACGATTTCGTGATCCTGACTTTGATGCCTCATTTTTGCCTTTCTCGAGTTTTTTTTTCACACCTCACTCTCTTCCCACCTTTTTACAAAAAAAAAATTGATAAAGTAAACATTTTTTTTAATATCTGAAAACATTTTTTCTCAAAAATACAAATAATAATTTTTAATTATTTTATGTAAAAAAAAAGTAATAAATTTTAATAAAATTTCTAAATATTTTATAGAAATTTGTTACCTAACAACTAATCAAAAAATCACTAATCACATTTAAATTATTTAAAGGGTAAAGGGGGAGGGTGTGAGGGAAGTATTTAATACACCTAAAATCTTTTTATTTTTGACCATTTTTTTAAAGATTAGACCAATTCAAAATCGCTAAAACATTTATTACCACTTGTTAATCATAACAAAAATGATTTTTAAAAAACTTAGCTTTTAAGTAGAAGCATAATAGGACTACCTCACAATTCCTTTTGCAGAAGGGTAGGTGCCATGAGAATTAAAATTTTGTATTTTGCCTTTACTTTTGTAAACTAATAAATTAAGATTTTAACTAATGACACCCGTGATTTATATTACAAAAAATGTACCAATACTGATATAAATATTTTTATTGCGCCGGTTAAATTACTTATATAAGAATCTATAAAATATATATATTTTTAATAGCTGAAAGAAAATTGTTTATATAAAATGGTAAAGATTTTTTGATAAGTTTAAATTTTTTGATATAAACAAATCGAACAAGATATTATTTTGATTGGTAAAAAGAATTTCAAGAAAAATCTCAATTATCGGTAGCGTCACTAGAGAGAGAGGGCGCACAGGAGCGCGAGCCTCCTGAAAGGTTAGGGTTTTAAAAAATTATACCAAAAAAAGGGTCAATTTAAAAATATTTTTTAAAAATTTTTGAGCCCCCTGAGATTGTAAAGACTAGTGGTACCCCTGTCAATTATGATATTGAACTAATGTATTTAAATATAATTACTAATCTGAAAATATATAATGTTTAAGGACATACCCCTGACCGAAAGGTCGCATGTGGTAGAGGTCTGCAACATTTCGTAATATTGCATTGCATACTTTATAAGTTCAAAATTCGAATACAATACGTAAAAGTCGAACAAACCAAATCATTTTTAAGCATTGGGTGAGTTGGGCTAGTGGGTCAAACAAAACTTTTAATAGGGCGGGTTTTTTTAATAAAAATTTAATTTCAGACCTATAATATTGAAGCCTTCTATAAATAAATTTACTTTTTGAATTAAAAACATTTAGACAAGCCTAATTGATACTCCTTTTTGATGAACGGAGAATTATTTATTTCATTCTTCATTTTCTTTATTCTTCCCTTTCTTTCTTTCTCTTCTTTCTTTCTTTCTTTCTTTCTTTCTTTCTTTCTTTCTTTCTTTCTTTCTTTCTTTCTTTCTTTCTTTCTTTCTTTCTTTCTTTCTTTCTTTCTTTCTTTCTTTCTTTCTTTCTTTCTTTCTTTCTTTCTTTCTTTCTTTCTAAAACTTTTAAATTTTAAATTCTAATTTAAAATATTTTAAGTAAAATATATTGTATCATAATCATATATCTGCTGACTTTCTATATGCACAGATTGATATCTAGCTCGATCCAAAGAATTAATGAATTATTTAGAATTGTAATATTTTGAAAAATGTTGAATTTCTTAGAAATTCTTTTTTTTTTAATTAAAATATAAATTAGGCTTTAACAAGAATTATATAGAAATTTATATAAATATGACATTTATAAAAAAAAATTATTGTTATCGTTTTAATAAAAAATAATAATTTTTAAATATTTAAAAAATATATATAAAATATAAAATACAAAAATTCATAATTTTTTATTGGATTTTTAATTTTTCCATAAATTTTTATTTTGTTATTTATTTATTTTTTGTATAATATATATTTTTTAAATAAATTTAATTTAATATAACAATAAAAAGATAATTTGGCAATTATAATAATTATAAATCTGAAAATCAAAACTTTTTAATAACTTCAAAAAAAAAACTTTTAATGATTGTGGATGAAAGGTGATTCTTTAAGCTTTAAAAGGGGAGAGAGGGGGGGGGGGGGGAGTGAGATTTTTAAAAGCAATAATTTCTTTGCCTATAGAAATTGGGGCAACGAGATAAGATATCTTCTTTGGTTATCAGCATAAGATAATATAATAATCTCTAAAATAAATTTTTAGTCATGACAATCAATATTTTTTTTAATTGCAAATACTTTTTAATTACAATACTTTTTAATTAGTAATTTTGGGAGATAATTTTTTTAAAATTCTTCTAAATAATAGTAATTTCTAAGTCGTTTTATATATAATAAATGTTCGAAGAATAAGTTAAAGACAAATGGGGAAAAAAGTAAACCATTTTTCATTTTAAAACATCATTTCTTAATATTTTTTTAAAAAAAATAAATTTAAGTGTAAAGTTTAAGAGTATATTTTATTCATCTATGAAATAAAGTAAAAAAATTGTAATGTTTTTTATAATAAAAAGGGGGGGGGGGGGGGGGGGGGTATTTTTGATTAATAAATTTAAATTAAATATTATAACAAAATAAAATAAATTAGCAAAATGTTATTATTAAAATTCCCTATTTATAAAGTTTTATAAATTTAAATAATTACAACTTACGAATTACAAACAAGTCTCCAATTTGTCACATATTTTCTTAAAAGGTTTCCCCATCCATTTATATAGGAAAAAATAAAATTTGAAAGAAAGAAATAAAAATTATGAATAAAATATAAACGTTTTAATTCTAAAGGCGTTTAAAAAAAATAACTTTACTCTTGGGAATAAATCGATAAGTTAGCAGCAGTACTACTAATATAACAAATCATAATTTTTAAATATTATAATATAATTTCAGGATAGTACACTTTTGGGTGGCTTTTTCCTCCATAAACTTTATCGGTTTTAAAATTATATTTTTATGACTTTCCATCTCAATCCCATTATAAATAAATTACAATTGCTGTATTATCAAAAAATAATTAAATCGTAATAACGTGTTTTTCATTCAATGCTTTTTTTTTTAAATTTTCCGCTGCATTTTATAAGTTAATAATTTCAATTCAAAATACTTTTCAATTTGAATGTCAATATTCAATCTCTTAATCTAGCCCTTTGAAGGTCAGGATCGTTTTTTTTTACATATTCTATATTTTATAAAAATTTCTTTCATCAAGATATAGTATTTTAAAATATAAATAACAACCAAAAATATTTTTAATTTAATGTAATTTAGTGTATGTTTCAACATTAAAATGTTTTAGCATGGATAAGCTTAAGTTATCAGTATCGGTACATCTCTGACTGACACTGCGTTCATAGTTAGTGCGAATTTCGCAGCGAAGTACTCGTGCCAACCCGTTTCAGCTCATCAATAATTTTTTACAAAATTCCCAGATCCGGCCAGGCTTGTTAAATTTTTTTTTTCCTTTACCCGGTAGGGTCCGTTAAAATTTTTAAAAAGTTGTACAAATTTTCCGGCCATCACAATTTTAACATCTATATATCTAAATTTTTTTCTAATGACAATTAAGACTTTTATATCTCTTCCCTCTAAGACTATCGATCTCTTTTAACAACCTTACTTTTTATAAATAAGAATATATCATAAATAATTTGTTTAATTTTTTAAGAATTTACTATAATATTTATAAATTTCGTATTTTAGATTAGCTGTTAAAACACAAAAATTCTAACAACCGGCTCTAAAGTTAGGCACATTCAAAGTTAAGCAGACATAATTCGAACCTTATAACATGTAAAAATTCATATTTTATTTTCTATTAAACTTTACATTCAAGCAGCGATTATTTTTAAAAAAAATTGTAATCAGCAAAGATAATCTGAGGTTAATTAAAATCTTAAGACAATAAAAATATTACAGAGAAAGGTTTTTGAAGGAATTTCTTAACTTACCAGAAACTGGTAAATCGCATCTTGAATCTATTGATTGCAAAAATTGATGTTTCCGGATCAGCAGAAAAGCGGTATGATGGTGAGCGTACTATGGAAAGTGTTAATTCTGTTGAAATAGTCTTATTGAGCAAAGAAGGCCGACTTGGCACCCACAGAACAATTAGTAAAATATCTCGAGAAATTAGTATTTTGTAAACTTCAATTGCTTTCGGATTATCCACAAAGGTCTTCAGCTGACGTGTTTAAGAAGGAAACAAGCCCAGAACCTAATCGATGCCAATAAGATTGCTCATCTGGTGCTAACAAACTACTTCTATGAAAATATCCTCAGTTTTAGTTCCTTTCATATAACTCACGAATGTAAGGCTGTTTACAGTAACTCCACTGGTAAATCTGCAAAACGATATATATGTTGCAGTTTTAATGAGTTAAGTTGCAGCCAATCGATTGGTATACAACATTTGACTCAATTAATTTTAACTGTTGATGGTTTCATGTATTTGTAGAATTGTCAAGTTTAAAAAAAAAAAATTTTTTTAAATGAATTATTTTGGAAAGTTCCAATTTTGTTTATCCAACCTAGAATGAGCATAACCTAGGACCCTGTTAATAGAATTCAATGAAATTTGCAGAACATTAATAATTTATCTAACTCTCAATCTATAGAATTTTATTTAATTATTTTTAGAATTGACAGACATATTGCTAAAACAAAAATAATATCCGTTCAATTAGAACTCTGTGTATAAACATGTATAACGAAAAATTTTTGTATACTAAAAATAAAATAATGGTGAAATATATAAAATATCGTTAAATATAATATACATGCCCATACTTCCTTATCTTAAAACTCTTCCCATAAATTCAAAGTTTTATAGCGAGAAGTTAAAGATACCTAAATACTGAAGTATTATTGCATAAGAGTGGATAAACCTTATATGAATATTTATGTTACATCATTGAAGAATATTTTAAAAAGATTTAAAAAAATTTTAAAGAGGCAAATCTGTTTTGGCATGCCAAAAGTAACAAAATTAAAGGGCAAACTTTATTGATTAATAATAAATAAAGCTTTAAAAAACCCAATAAGGGATTTTAAAAAAGTTCAAAATTTTTTTAATCTGACATTTTTTAAAAATTATAAAACAAAAATTATTATTGATACAAATGGCATTTATAAAATTAGAAGGAATGTTGATGGTAGGTCCCGAAGTAAGATGATTCTATTAATTCATATTTATATCTTATTTTGATTATAACAAACATGCAAATAATTTTAAATGAATATATTTATCAATTTAAAATTTTTTTATATTCCTAAATTTAAATTAATGATTTATTTAAATTGGAGCAATCTAATCTTTCCAGCATATATAGAGTACTTATCTGTAAAATTTCTCGTGAAATTTTGAGCTAATCATAATTTATATTAATTTTTATATTATAGATCTTTCATCTAAATTTATAAAAAAAAACTTAGGCAAAATAATACTGTGTAGACATGCTGGAATTTATTTTTGGTAAAATCAGATTTTTCCAAAATTTATAAATTGCCTTCAAGTAAATTAAAAATGAGATTCCAAATCACAACGGGAGATTTCCTTATTAGTATAAACCTATTCCAGATCAATGATGCATATATCCTACTAGATAGGGCGATTCATTAATTAAAAGTGTCTAAGTACAGGAGTCAGCTGTAGCGCCATTTTGTGGTTTACACTTCGATTATTGTCTTTATTTATAATTAAATGAATGCCCATAGTGTAATTTAATCGACACACAAACCATAAAATGGCGCTACAGCTTACTTTCTATGTATGGACATTTTTAAAGGCATTTAATAAATGAATAGCCAATCTAGTAATATATACACCATTGTTCCAGATTAACTTGCCACATATCTATCCCTCAAACCTGGAATAATCGCGGTTAGTAAAGTTATATATCCATTGAGATCCTATATTGACCCCTGTAATATTTTTATAATATAGTTAGTTTTTAAACAAATAAGAATAGTAAGTCATATCGGTAGAAAATGTCTGAACAGATATATATAACTATATAATATAAATATAAAATAATTAGAATTTTAATTTTAATTAAAATATTCCTTCTTTTTTTTCATTGCTATCATTTTGAATCTCCCTATGAAAATTAATAAGACACTTCCTAGAAGGAATTTATAATTCGGTAAGATAATGTCTAGACTGTAGATACATAACCTATATATTCCTTAAAAACTCAATCCCGGATAGTAAAGTCATCTAACCATTGAGATCCAATATTGATACCTGTAAAATTTTTTATGATATACTTATAGATTTTACTTGTTTTAAAAAATAAGAATCTGAAGCCGTATTGGTCAAAAATGTCTGAGCAAATATATACTAAGAGGTCTGCATTGTGCCGATCTTTAGCCCGCCCGCCTACTCCCGCCCATACTTTGGGTGAGCGTAGTCGGGTTTTCTAAAATATTTTTAACAATGGGCGGGTGACGGGGGGGGGGTTAGAAAAATTTTAGGTAGTGGGCGGGCTTGGGCAGGTAAATTTTTAATAATTTTCAGGCGAAATGAGCAGAACAGACTTCAATTTATTAAAAATAATAGTTTCATTTCATGTTATTGCATATAATATATGTTTAATTAAAACATTAATATAAATAAATAAAGAGTTGCCAGCCATTAAAATAAGTTTTAAACATTGGGCGGAAGGGTTAAAAAAAATTTTCTAACAACGAGTGGGCGGGCTTTTTAGCTAAAAATCCCCC